GCAGGTATTAACTCCAACATCAGAAAACCTGCAGTTAACCTGGATCAACACTAACCTCTCTGTCCTCCTCAGTGGTGTTCCCCTTGTGACCAGTCTGCCGAACCAATGACCAGTTCATACTCATTGTATATTTTGTAAATAAACCTTTGAACTTTTTCCCTGTCTCACGAGTGTTTCTGCATGTGGGTTAGACGCCTTGAACCCAACATGACACGCACACACACTGTGTAAATGCCGCTACACTTTTGCCAATGCACATCAACAGGTCTGGAAAAAGCATCTCATAGGAAAATAAGGAACTTTTTACCGATTGACAGATTTTCTTATTTTTTATTTATTTAGGTGTTTTAAATGGGTCTATGAGATTTATTGCAATATTAAGGTTGTGCAATTCTGGAGATTACGCTGGACCATCACATCTTTCAATAAACAGCTTCATTCAGGAGTTGGTCAATTCAATAGACTTAGAAGTTTCATCATCTAGCAGATGCTGTTGTAACCCGCTCTGAAAATCACACTTAAGCTGTGTCTGAACACCCTCCCCAACCCCTATATAGTGCTCTGTATAGGGGTTGGGATCATTATTATCATTTTATATGGGTGTCTGGATGAAAAAGTAGTGGACTCAAAACCTCCCATTATGCACAATGAAAAGTAGTGTTCATTAATGGTCACTAAATGAGCAGATATATGGCAGAATGCTTTGCAAGAGCTCTCCTTGTCAAAAATTATGGGACTGGTTTTGGGGCGAAAAAAGAACAAAGATGTTGCAGGCACCATGTGGGGAGCCACAGGTGATCAACATGGAGTGAAAAGTAGTAATCATCTGTCCCAGTGTTTAGTTTACTGAGTTCACTATGAAGTCCTCTATATAGTCCCTGCTCCAGATGGGTATTTAAGGGTTAGGGGTTAGGGTGGACAATTGGACACAGCCAAAAGTTTGAGCAAGACTCTTGATAAATAATTTAACTTATCATTTTTTTGCTCATGAGATCACTTTTAAGATCGATCTTAATAATAACGCTAAGATGCTTGATAATATGACCCCTGATTATTTAAATAAACAAGGTGTGTTTGGAATGTAATACAGAGACACCCAAAAGAATCTATGTTTTGCTTAGTGGGCTTGAGACTAGAGGCTGACTAAAATATTGTTACATTTGTGTAAACTGAGAAATGTTTTGAATACTTTAGATTTAAACAATGCTTTTATCTGACTGACTAAAATTTCCACTATATTAGATGATTCCCAACACTTATTCCTCTGCTCTGACACAGTTAATATAAACCTTTTCTTTGTCTCCCTCTGCTGTTGATGTGAAGAGAGAAAAATTATAGTTTGTAAAGATAGCTGCTATTTGCTTCCATTAGATAAACTTAATGAGAAAATAACTCCTGATTTTATTTGGTGCAACCTATTTAGTAAAACCAGAACAATGATTAAGCGGTGGGCAATGCACTGCAGTTTCTGTAAATGGAGTAGAATGCTCTTCTTTACCAGACTGTTAGGATTTCCTGCTGTATGTTAATAAGGAATAATGTTCAAGTTTTGAACCA